TTTTCACATTGTAGGATTTTATCAATGAGCTAAGCGGTGAACAGGAAACCCATGACAGCATATTCTCATTCTTGGTGCATCAAGTTGTAGAATTGGCCAAAGACTGCTTGGACAAGTCACAGGATGGTCTGGTCACCACCGGTTATTTCATTGAACTTTCTGAAAACTGTAACAGACTCGTTTTAGATGTAAGTATTACCATCCCATCCCATCCCATTATGATTCAAGAATACATAAGATTATAAGTATACAACTGGTATGGTGATATACAATGGAGATTTATTCGAAGTTGCATGAATTGTGAGACAATAAGAAAATTACAAGACAAACGTTGATTTCTAGAAATGAGCGAGTCTGCAAAGAAGCTGGTTAGTGGTTATTTGAAGGCAGTTTTTAGCTCCGCTGTCGACTTTGTCGAGCGGAGCTTATCATATGAGTGATTGTCAGTCGTCCGTGTCAATGTTTTACTTTTTCGACTTCTTCTTGAAAACTACAAGCCGGAATGCTTTGATACTTGGTGTATATGTACCTTGGGTAGACCTCTCTCAGATTTGTTCATTTCATTATGATATCTTCAATTTTCTAATTTTGGTGAATATTTTTGTCATTTTTGGTAAAAAGTGATATTTTCGACTTCTTGTTGAAAACCTCTAGTCCAATTGCTTTGATATTACATATATAGGTACTACATGTGGTTCTAACTCAGATTTGTTCATTTCATGATGATATCTTTAATTCTCTAATTTTGATGAATATTTTTGTAATTTTTGGTAAAGAGTGATATTTTCCACATCTTGTTGAAAACCGCAAGTCTGATTGTTTTGATACTATACATATTGTTCATTTTTTAATTCTGTTCTTTAATTGAAAAGTGCATTGCTAACAGCGGAGCTATCTCAGCCGAGAGGCTGCTTGTTTAGTGTCCATGTGTATGTGTATTGTTTATCATTTTGAAAAAAGCAATAACCTTGCTCAACTCAAGAAATCCAAATCTAAATCACCATTTCATTTATTTTATTATACATATTCTTATTTAATAATCACATATATGTATTCAAGTAGTACAAGAAACAGGAAAAAAGTCCAAACCATTTTATCATGTTTCATTTGCAGGCATACAACAGATCAAGTTCAACAGCAGATGCTATTAGTGATATCACAAAAGAACTTCTTATAATAATATCACGACCTGCTCGTCTTTTGGAATGTTTGGTAAGGAGTTGTTTATGTGCTTCCCAGTATTCTAGTCATGTAGTCAGCAACTACATTGCACAAGTAACTGAATGACCATTAGATGCATTTGAAAGAAAGATGGTGAAAACAAATGTTCAAATTTTATTTTTCCATCACTTAGTTTTTTTCTTCTTTTTTTCAGGACTGTGAACATGTTTTTGCTTTTCTCTATCAAATGTTTTTTTTAACATTTTTTTTCTTATCATTTTTCTTTTTTTTTACAAAAGAATTTCATTTGTGTGGATTAATTTTCCATCTAGCCAAAAATAGTCTGACATCAATAGCCGCTGAGATGTTGTTGAGAGGGAGAAAACAGCGCAACTTGTTTTTTCCCTCATCTACAATGTAATGTTCCATTTTTGCCGGTTGGTCACATCTACTATTCCCTTGATGTATGTAACCATAGAATTTGTAAAAGTAGACATAATGATGAAAGAGGATCAAACACTATTTAATTAGTAAAGATATGTCACATGGTTCTCACACTCTCAGTAACATCCCAGTGGCCATTCATGTCTAATTTTCACTACTGAAGGTCAATATGCTAATTATTGTCCTTTATGTACAGATGCTGTACTTGTGGATCACTGTGAACTGACTACAATAATTCCTTTGTATTTTCACACAGGAATTTGACCCAGAGGAGTTTTATCATCTTTTGGAAGCTGCGGAAGGTGCTGCTAAAGTCAATGAGGGACTTAAAGAAGATATCCCAAGATACATTGTACAGAAACTTGGATTAACTAGAGACCCATTAGGTATCTGTCCATTATTACATCATCCTCTTTATACTGGTTTCCATCAGCATTTCTTTTTGAACTCTACCTTCCTGCCACTTTGATGGTTGCATTGTATTGTGGGTAAATGTATGAAAGTGTTTTTGTTGTCATTAAATAAAGAATGTAGGAGAAATTTAATCAAAATAGCCATATTTAATTATTCTCTTAGAATTTCAGAGCTCCATCATAAATTACAACATACTTATAACTCTTTCACCACCTTTCTTGCCCAAAATTTTCAGCACTTTTCTTATATTATTCAATATTTTTGGAAATTAGCCCTAATTTTGAAGCCAACAGACAAAATTTGAGTCAATTTCAGTTTTTACACAAAAAATTTGGCTATTTGTCCCAATCTTTTGAAGGAAAGTGCAGACTATAAACAGGACTATTTTGTGAATTTGTGATGAAAAGGGAGAACTGGTGGTGAAAAGGATAAAACAGTCGTCAAAATTGCATGTATTTTAAATAATCAATAAATAACACAGTCAAGAATGAAATAATCTTAGGACATCTTTATATGCTTACCTAATATTACAATTAACTGGACTTCACAACATTAGTCACAGAAAATGTCATGACCAATTAAAAAAACACTGCAGCAATTCCACTACATGTATTCACCTATTAATATGCAAATTAGTGTATGTCTTTGTTTTAATTCTGACATCAAAATGAATACTACTCAGCAAGCACTCATCACTTTTTTCAGAGATTATAGATATGAACACTATCTTGTCAGTGGCTTTTGAATGAAACCTGAATGTAAAAACAAACAAATATTATATTTGTGTGAAAACACAAAAAATAGACATTTTTAAAAAAAAGTCAAGGAAAATCTTTTATGTTAAGTTTTATTGTACATTTCTCAAAAAAATATACTTACTGAGTTAGAAGGCTTTATTTGTTTCTGAAGATCAGTTGTAGGTATATTTGTCATAGGGATAAGTACCTTCAGTACTCTGAATAAGAAATAAGTGGAAAGGTCAAGAAAGGATATAAACATCAATATATTAAAACTTCATTTTTTCACATTTTTTAACTTTTTCTGAGAGTGACAGGTTTGCAATTGCGACTTTAAATCATTAAATTGCAACAATTTATAGTGACAAAAATATATAATTATATTTCACTATATTTTAACCAATATATTTCAAGGTTTTGTCGTTAATTCATTAATGATTTTTCGGCACACTTGTTTTAAGACTTAACCAAACATTAGATGTTAAATGATTTCTTTTCTTTATTATATTTTCATCAGAAGTCATGAACCCCACAGAATTTGCTAAATCCGATGATGATGAGATTAAACCACCGCAACCGAGAAGAAGAACTAGTGTATTGAAAAAAGAACCCACAGAAGATGACTTTCATACAATTAAACTTATAAGTAATGGTGCTTATGGGTAAGTGTCGTACAGCGTACACTGCTATGCTTGGTCGTCTCAATCACTTGTACGTAGATTATAACTCTCTCTCCACAGGATGTTTTCATCTCCCAAAATGGAAAATCTTTATTTTTTGTCAGGGCTTCGAATTGTACATAGTCTGTTGTCATTCGTAGTCTTCTTTATCAACATTTTTTGTGTCACGTGTCCCGAATCTATATCACTTAAGGTAGAGATGCAGTTTATTTGTGAATTTCAATCAAAAATATTTTTTTTTTCGTTTTTTATATAGATTTTTATCTAAAGAACATTCTGTGAAAATTTGACCAATGAATTCTTATTAGAAC